CCACAGTTCAACTATAATCCTCTAATGATGGGATTTGAGCAGAGAGCCATTAGTTGGCTTTTAAAATGTGCTTTATCATTCAACCTGGCCAACTCTGAAAGCTCTTGTTTGTGTCTTGGTAAAGACCAAACTACCACTAGGCAAGCAGAGATTTTGAGGTTTTTTTACCCCAAAGTCTTCTTTCTTAGTCATACTGTCACCTGTCTCGATAGTTTTATTCGAGCAGAGGAAATAGCTGTATCCCACCCCAGGGTACCCATCCAAAGGTGTGGGTGATCTGAGGACCATTAGCATCAGAACATCTGTGCATTTTTTAACAAGGTAGGTTCCTGGGCTCCAGCGAAGACCCTTGGAATCAGACAGTGGGGGATGTTTTTGTGGGGTTTTTTTAAATCCTCACCTGAGGATATTTTTTCCATTGCTTTTTAGAAAGAGAGTTGAAGGGAGAGAGAGAGAGACATCGATTGGTTGCCTACCACACACAGTCCCCATCATGGGGACCAAGCCTGCAACCAAAGTACATGCTCTCGGCTGTAATTGAACCCGGGGCCCTTCAGTCCGCAGGCCGACGCTCTAACCACTGAGCCAAACCGGCTACGGAGTTTGCCATCTTCTGATCTAGATGCGTATTGTTGGCATCTGGGTAATGTTTCAGTCAGCATTGAAGGAGGTTTGCTCATGTTTTTTACCTCACCATTTATGTATAGATTCTTTCAGATTTTCTTATCTCTTGATATGGTTATAATTTGGTCTTTTCCCTTCAAATACTTCCTTCATCTGTAAGTTGAATGATAGATGCAATGTTTGCAACCTGCCTTGTTCTTGGCATTAATGTGTCTATTTATCACAGATAACAGGTACTTTTATTTTTTAAGCATCATTTATTCATTCCACAAAAATATGGGAAGCCTTTAATATAAGTGCCAAGTTCAGCATTAGGAGCGGGGGCTGTAGGCTGTGGATACTGCCTCTTGTTCTGCAGCTGTCTGGCTGGGCCCACAGACATTGTCTCGCTGTATTAGAACCATCTTCATGGTTCCCAGACGTGCAGTGAGGTGTGATCAGAGGAAGCACTGATGGGAGCTACCCCACGGGGAAGGGTGCTTATTTTGGAGGGACTGTGTGTGCAAGAGCCTGAGGGCTAGAAGAGGACCCATTACCTTCAGGACTTGAAAGACAGAAATGACAGCATATTGGGGGCCAAGCTTCACACAGTGACCTTTAGCCTTGCTAAGGAATTTGGGTGTCTACTAGGACACCATCAGAGGGCATGGTAGTTTCTGTAGCATGGTCGTGTTGCCTGTAGTATGGACGAGTGGTAGATCCATCAAGATGGGATAAGAAAATGACAAGAGGCTGTTGTGTGTGTACTGCTGATGAAAGGATGTCTTGTGCTGTGGAGTGACCAGACTACGCAGGTTTGGGACTCTTGGTCTGAGGAGGGTGGGCTTCAGCATTCCCTGTCCCTCAGAGCTCCCTCAAATCACAGGGAGGGCAGGAACCACACAGCAGGTCAGCCAGAGAGTGCCTACAGGTCAGCTGGCCCGGGCTGTCTTCCTCTAGGAAAGTTGGCTGTAAAGTGAGCATAGTTTTATGTATTGTTTGTATAAACATTGGTAGGAAAGGACTACTGGTTAAAGTTTTACTCTTCCACTGCTTTTAGCTGTGCATCCTTTGGCAAGTTGCTTAACTTCTCTGAAGCTCAGTTTCTACTTTTGTAGTTAGTGTGCAAATCAAGTAATAGTATGCTTACTAGGGAGAAATAATACTATTTGCATAATGACAGGGAAGAGATGTGCCTGGCACACACAGGTGCTTAACTGGAGAACTGTCATTACTCTCATTGTGTTGTCCTCATCATTTTCATTGTTGGTGAACCTGACCTTTCATCCCTTAGCCCATCCTTGCCCCTTTGCCTTGAGGTTAAGGGCCAAGATAGCAGTGGCCTTGCTTGTTTTTCTTTCGCAAGGAGTAAGAACAAGGGAGGACTGTGAGTGACTTGCTCCCTGTGTCAGATTCCCTGGGGGATTTCACCTTTTGTTTTGACAAAAATTCTAACACATACCCTAAAGTCCACTCTCCCCCTTTCTTATCTTTTGCTGTGCTTGCCTCTGAGCCTTGGCATTTCTCCACGCAGAAGCTCACTGTGATCTCTGGTTTGTGGGCGGTTTTCCCCTAAGGCTGTCTTCATCACTCCCGAGTACTTGGTTGTGGAGTGCTCTGTCATTTTGGAACTTCCAGGGATGTGTTTCTTTGTTCAGTGTTCACTGTCTTCTCCCCTTCTTCCCTCCATTTGTCGTACCCGACAAGGGTGCCCACCTTTCCCAGGCTTTGCAGCCCTCTGCCCGAGCCCTTCTCAGAACATCCTGCCCTGTATTTTCTTGGGCCCCCTCCCCTCTTGTGTTCATTTGGGTTTTCAGGACACTCTAAAGGGTGCTGAGGTGTCAGAGACTGGCAAAGGGAGTGGGTGGGTCCCCGCAGTAGAGCTTGTGCGGGTCAGTTAAATACCTGGCAGAGGAAAGTGTACTGACTACCTGATGGAAAGTGGTCTTGTCAGGATGAAATTTGTCCCCCTTTGTGCCTGGTGATGGGGACAGTGCAGAGGGCTGGCTCCTGCTGCAGTGGATGGCCATGTCTGAAACAAACAGGAAGATAAAATCATCCTGGGAGAGTTAAGTGTATTCTACATTAAAAAGTCTATCATTTTGCACTGGCCGAGTAGCTCAGTTGGTTAGAATGTTGTTCCGATACACTACAGTTGGGGTTTCGATCCCCAGCCAGGGCACATACAAGAATCAACCAATGAGTGCATAAATAAGTGGAACAACAGGTTGGTGTTTCTCTCTCTCTTTCCCTTCCTCTCTCTCTCAAATCAATTTTTAAAAAAGCTCATCATTTCCCCTGAAGTTAACATGGGTCAGTGTGGGTTGGAAAGCTCTGCTGGCATGCTGAAGGCGATGGGGCTGGATGTGGAGCAAAGAGCTTGCTGGTGTCTCTGAATATGACTGTATGGCATGTGGTCTTGTGAAAATCTAGCAGTATTTCACCATCTTTGCCTGTCACACCTTTTGGAAAACAAGCTCCTGGCTGTCAAGGTAAAGGTCTGCCTTTATGGCCTTTGCTCTATTTGGTGATATGCATGTCCCTGCTTCTCAAACTGGCACATGGTTCCTTTGGGGGATGTGATCTTGTGCGAAGTACCCATATGGCACATTTGGGATGCCATTTGGGGGAGGAGGGAAATATCTTTTTTTAATATATACAACATAATGGGTTTATATTTAGTATAGTATTTCTCTCCATGGGAGTGTTACTCAGTTAATATGGCTTTTAAAAACATTAAACCTCTTCTCCATTTCAGTGTCAACACAAAGTATTTTTTTACGTTAACTCTCTTCTCCATTTCAGTATTAGGTACATCAAATACATTTTTTAAAACCCTTTTCCCCCTGAAGAAATAAAAATTTTAAGTTTTGACTGGCTGTATTTGATATCTAAGTACAATATTAACTTGGGGGATAACAAAACAAAAATCTAATAAAAATATGGAAAAAAGACTCCTCAGTGATGCAGAAGGCGGTGATTCCAGCTGAGCAGTGGTGACCTCCTAGGGTTCTGGGTGAGAGTCTCCTTCCAATTTTATGTGCTTTGCAGATTTTGATACTATGAAATATTATTTATGCAAATTCTAGCCAACTTACTTCTTTGACCTTCTTTCTAACTAGCAAATGCAAATTATATTCTGCATATTCAGTGCATTATCTGTTGTGAAAAAAATTTTTTCCATTTAACACACATCAGTTTATTCCCATTTGTAGTGATACAACTAAGAATGTAAAATTACCCAGTTTACTGTTTCTTGGGAGCTTTCAGACACCAAAGCTCAGTTGTTGTTTTTTAAAATATATCTTTATTGATTTTAGAGAGAGGAAAGGAGAGGGAGAGAGAGAGATAGAAACATCAATGACGAGAGTCATTGATCGGCTGCCTCCTACATGCCCCCGCCTGGGGATCGAGCCCGCAACCCGGGCATGTGCCCTGACTGGGAATTGAACCCCGATCGCCTGGATCCTAGGTCGACGCTCAACCGCTGAGCCACGCCTGGCCGGGCTCCAAAACTCAGTTTTTAACCTCAATAGCACAAATGTTTTCAGGGCAAGGTTCAGGGCCCTTCAGGGTCACACCTCTCCATTTCTCTTTTCTGCTTGTACCTCACCTCCAAACAAGCACACATGCCTGTGATGCTGACAACCAGACCTAACAAGTGAGCTGTTGTGTCTCTGGCTTCTGCTGCTTCAACAGAGGCAGCACAAAAAGCAGTGAATCGAGGACTAAGAACAGTTTATAGAAACTGAGGTCATGATGTTGGGACCTTGAGGTGGCTGGATCTTGAGCACTGAAGGTTTCAAAGAAACAATATATGTATAATTCTGCCTGGCTTGAAATCCTTCCTTCCTGGAGCTCTGAATGCTGAGGCTAAGAGGTTCCATAAGACGCGCCTTCCAGGAAGCAGCCACTACAGGACTGGCCAGGAGGGAAATACCTTTAAGCCAGGGATTCTCAGTTTTGGCACTGGTCGTATTTTGAGCCAGATAATTCTTTATTGTGGGCAGATAATTCTTCACTGTGTCCTGTGCACTACAGGATGTTTAGCAACACCCCTGGCTACTACCTGTTAGATACAAGTCTTTCTCCCCCAGGCGTGATGACCAAAAATGTCTCCAGACGTCACCAAATGTCCCATGGAGGGGGAAATCACTTCTGATTGAGAGCCACTGCTTTAGACAGAACATGGATATGATATGAACAAGAATATAAATGTATATGAACATTTAAACCAAAAGAACCACCTCTGAAAAAATAAATGTGTGCATCCCACTCCTCTGCTGCACTGAGGCAGAACTTAAAAGTTCTGGCATCTGTTTTATTTTTTATTTTGCCCTCTAATTATTGAACTCTTGAACTTTGAGTAATTCTTTCTCTTTTTTGTTTATATTCAGAATATCCTGCCTCACCCAAAGTTTCTGTTGAATGAAAAGTGCCCTTACCAGAATTCCTTCAACAGGAGGTCTCCTACTTGTATTTCTAAACTTCTTATAGGTGCGTCTTCACATTTGCTGGATAGCTGGGCCGGGTTCATTCATTCTCAGTGGGAAATTAATTGATGCTAAGATCTGACATCATTCTCAGACTGCCAGTGAATGTTCTCTGTTCTTTCTCACCCCTACCTGCTTGTACTGTTTTTTTCCTCCCATTAAAATTGAGGCATACCTAGGCACGTTTTCTTGTACATGTGCCTACCATCGTAGGGATCTTTTGTGCCTTTTATTTTTTGAAGCCAAATTCTCCAAATGCTTGTTAATCATTGGGTGGATCTCTCTTACTGTCCAAGTCATACTTTTGTTGTTTGAAATTGAGGTTTTAATTTTTTTCTTCTTCAAAATTTGGCTGCACTGGATTCTTTCAGTAATTTCCTATTTTTGACTTTTGCTTAGGTTTCCTCTTAGCCTGGAGCATTGCACTTTTCCTTGTTAAATAATATCAGATGCTCTGAGCATATCAGGTCCATCTTGGTCTACTGTTGATCTCCTTCACTATTCCCTAATCTCTCATTATTTTACCTCCCCTCCATTTGGGGGAGACAGTTGGATTTTTTTCTTTATGTTTATGTTGTTATTTGATTGCTATTGAATGTTTCGGTTCTCTTTTTTTGTACGGCATTGAGGTTTTAATTTATTTCTTCATCAAAACTTGGCTGCATAGGATTCTTTCAGTAATTTCCTATTTTTGACTTTTGCTAGCCCATTTAAAGCTCATCTTGCCACCTACCTGGAATTCTGTGTAGCCACTGAATCCTAGATTAGTTTTATCTCCTCTTTTTTTATGCTTTGGGTGCCTTCTCATGCCTTTAGTTGCGCACCTGTAGGGAATTTAGAACTTTAATATCCAGCCAGTCATAATAAATTGGCTATAACTTGAAGTATGGTTGCCATTAGCCACAGGTGGCTCTTTGAATTGAAATTAAAATTAGATGCAATTAAAAATTCAGTTTCTCTCTTGCCCTAGCCACATCTCAGGTGCTCAGTAGCCTTGTGGCTAGTGACAGGTTGGACAAGGCAGATGTACATTTCCATCATGGTGTAAAGTTCTGTTGGATAGTGCTGGGGGCTGTAAGACATTCCCCCCCCCCCAGGAAAACGAGTGATTTTTATTTGCATGGAATTAAATCCCTGAGTTTCCAAGGTCCCATTTTCCTTCATCCCATAAGAAATTTTTTAATCCCTAGTATTCTGATATTTTTGATGAGGTATGGTCCTCCTTTTCAGGGGATATTTAGAATCAGTGAATGACTGTAAATGCAGAGGGGTAGGGACTTGAAAAGTGTAACTAAGTAATATGTTTTTGGATGTTTTGGTGTAACTTGTATTCTGACTTTTCCATGCAGAAAATGCGCCAGGACCATGTGTCCTTTGTTGTTTGTGTGCTTGCGGTGATTTGGCTGCTTTCTCTCTTCTAGGTGCTAAGAGATGGTGCTTGTGGGACTCATCTCTGCCTGAGAATCAGGTGCCCCAGGTTCCGGAAAAGCCAACTCTTCCAGCCCAACGACCAAACCACCCACTTTTTCTTAATGATGGGTATTGGTAAGAACACTACATCCAAATCCATGGAGGCCGGGAGTTCAACTGAAGGCAAATATGAAGATGAAGCCAAGCACCCCGCTTTCTTCACCCTTCCGGTAACAGCGCTCCCCCCTCCCTTCTCCATCACTCTAAAGTCATTTCTGTATTAAATCAACATAGGATTAGCTTTAGTACTCACGTTTTCCATGAAGGTTAAGGCACCTGAAAGCCAAATGCTTTTCATGTGAGTCAGTCTTCAGGCACCCCTTTGGCCAACTGTGGTTTTGGCCCTGCTCTTGGCCTGGAGTCAAGCAGTGAGATTAACTCCAGGAAGGAAGCATGTATTGCCGTCAGTGCTGAAAAGTTGGCTGCCCAGTGCTTACTCTACAGTGGAGGATGTTGAAGGCTTAAGTTTATCTCCAAAGATGTGTTCTTTTGGAATAACCTGTAACCTGACATCAGACTTGTATTATTGTAAGGAGGGAGATTGAATGAATGACTTACTGTTTGGAAGCCAGATGTCCGTGATTTTTGCATTATGGCAGCAGCATCCAGGATAGAGGCAGTTTTACTGTACAAGTGATATCAGTCAGCCTAGGCTGATGACACATAGTCATTATATTCAGTTCTAGTATTTTTCAGGTGTAGAATTATGACTCGATGTGTAGAAAGTTACCTAAAGTGTTGGTTTAAAAAAGAACACCGCTCTTCAGAGAACTTGCCTCCAGATGTTTTTTTGTTAATGTTGGAATGAGGTTAATGGCACAAGCACCATTCTAGGATTCCTTTACACGTGGCCCTGGGATCCGTGTCACTGCGACATTAGGAAGGAAGGAAGGAAGGAAGGAAGATATGAACCTGGCATCTTTAAGTACGCTGGCCGACCTGACTTGCATTTACATTTTGATTTTTACCCTATTAATTCCCAGAGAGATGTTCTACTGTTTTTACAACTGACATTACTGTTTTCTTCCTTCATGTAAAGTCAGTTTTGAAACTGGATTTTCTGTCATATTGAAGGCTTAAGGTCAACACAGATTTTCTAGAGGGAGAGGCAAGTAAGTTGTTCAAGTTTATATTAGATCACCTTTGAAAAGTGAACAGGAACATTTCATGCCTGGGTATTGACTTGTTTCTAACATTCCGTGAGGTGTGGAGGCAAGGATGGGCCAGCAAAGGGGGGTGGGTAGGGAGTGGTTGCTGAGGTAGGAGGGGAAGCAAGGACGCTCCCTCCAGGCAGCCAGTGACTAAGGCATTGTGAAAGTGAGCTGGGTGAGGCATAAGGATGAACTGTTGCATTTAGCCAGGACTGGGTCTTTGCCAGGTGACTACCAGAGGACAGCAGTTGAGATTTGTGTGAGAGTGATTGTAGTGATGCTGCATGGACCCTGGGTGGGATAAGGAGGGAATTGAAGCTGATGGAAATGGCATTTGGGTCAAGGGTTTGGCAGGCCTGCTGGGGTCTTTGGGGTTATCCAGGAGGAAAGACAGATGATGAAGAACAGGAAGCTTCGAGAGGTGGTAAAGGGGTAGATCGACCCAGTTTGGTGTTGGGTTAGATGTGGGTGGCGAGGTACAACAGAAGTCAAGGAGGGCTTGGAATTGGGTACCTGGGTGCCTGGTGGTACCCGATGATGAAATAAATGCACAAACAAAACACAGGGTGCTTTTCTTGTTTGTTTTAAGTTGGTGTGGGGAAGTAATGAATTGATAGAATATAGAATTAAAGATTCTGCTCTGTGGCGATACTTTATGTCCATTTCTAGTCAGGAAAGCCCTGATTCCCTTGCCCCTGAGGAGTGAGCCTTTTCCCTGTTGTCTCCTCTCAGCCAGGGAGCAGGTTTCCTGCTTTATTGCTGAGAGTGACCAGCTGAAGTCAGCACGGAACACTCTACATTGGCACCTCCTAGCACAGAAAATAGTTTTCTAATTCACTAGTTAGGAAGAGGTTTGTAGAACGGATATATGCAGACATGATAACATTTGAGTTTCCTGGGGCAGTCCTGCGTATTTGTTCATACAGTTCCTCTTTATGCTCACAAGGATCCTGGTTTGGATGACAAGTTACATGGTTACTGTAATTATAATCAAACTTAAGCATATGAAACAGCTGAAAACATTTTTTAGAGGAACTTTTTGAAAAATCTTACATGATTAGACTTAAACACACAAAAAAACCCCTTCTCTGATTATAAAAGCAATACATGCTCCTATTAGGAAATTTGGCAAATACAATAAAGCATTTAAAAGATAAACATTATACTTGAATTAGGTGGTTATGGAATTGATGAGAAGACTACAGTTGGGTCCCCACCCTCCCACCTTCTGTAGTTACTATAAGTGAAGTTTTCTCTTCGTGTAAATTTACACATTAAACTTAATGCCAGATCAGACTAATTCTATAATCCAGCAAGCCAGAGAAATGGAGGGCTTTTCCTGTTCATCATTAACATTTGGGGGATTTTATTGTCATTAGTAAAGATGTTGCCCTTGTCTTTCAGATTATAAGTAAAGGAAGGAAAGTTTAGATGTTAAGTAGTTAATAGAAGGTGGTGATGAATTGTGAGAAAGTCTTATAAAGAAAAAAAAGTTGATAATGACAGAAAGAGGCCTGGTCCAGGCATAAGAAAATATATGAAGAAAATGCTAACCCAGGAGAGAGAGGTTCAGGAGGAGTCAAGACAGAGGAGGGGGTGGCCAAAAGCTTTAAAAAGAAGGGGTAAACTGCCCTCCTGGAAGAGACCTGAGACCCCAGGGTCAGCAGCCCAATGGGTGTGCTGTTAGGTGGGAGGTGAGCAGCTACCTGCTGAACCCCTTACCTCTAGGTTCTCCATTCACGCCTAACCTGTGTTCACCTGAGCTAGGTAGGCAGGCTCCTGACCTTTAATGATTAGAAGAAAGATAGTTCAGCTAATCAAAGCATAATCTGTTGGAGAAAAAGCTAATTTCCTGTTGGGATTTGATAAAGTGGTCTAGGGGGAAGATAGGCTATGGGAGGTTGCATGGTAATTACCTGGTGGTTTCTCCCACCTCCTTTAATTTTACATGTTTTAAAGCACCCATATTTCTCCCCAGACTTCATGGTACATGTGTTGTCAGAGTGAAATGGAAATAGCAAGGAAATTTATGTGTTCTTTATCTTTTTAATAGTTTGCATATATTTCTTCCCTGTCATTGTTTTATTGTATAACTTTATTTACAAAAGAAATACATTCACTGCAGAAAATCTAGAAAACATAGAATGCTATAATGAGGTTTGGAAAAGCCAGATCATTTAAAATCCTGTCAGCCAGAAAAACAACATTCTTATATTTTGGTATATTTCTTTCCAGAGATGAAACAAATATTTGATGTTTTAAAAAATAAAGCACACAGCCTGCTTTATAAAGCCCTTTAACTTCATAGTATATCATGGCATGTCAATGCCATTGAAAAACATACCTTGTCATTGACATAATAGCAAATCATGAATCTAATTTTTCTACGTTGTCGACATAAAGGTCCAAATCGGAGAATTTTTATTTTTTGCAGCTTCCTTTATGCATTTGGAATTAAGGAGGATTACGTGACAGTGAGGAAAAGTAAGGTAGGGATTAGATTATAGGACAGCCAACAAGATTGGGCTAGCTTTGGAAGGTTCTGAGAAGAGACATTTCAGAGGTGCATCAACCTAGAGGCTCAGAAACAGTGGACAGGCTTACTTAAGGCAAAAACAAACCTTTTACTAAAGAAGTTATATGCCTACCATGACCTGCCTGGTTAGGAATTCATGATCCCATCACCCTGTGAGATTACTTTCTATAGAACCCCTTTTTGTCCACAAGTTTCTTTGGGACCTTGGGTTATTTCTAATTCATTGATATAATAAACGATAACCTAGTGTATGTAACCTCATTGCAGTGGTTTATATTCCCAGCAGCTCTGTGAGATAGGACCGTCCCTTGCCAGTGCCCCCACCAACGTTAGGATTACTAGTGTAATGTTAGATCTGTCAGCTACATTTTTTGGGGTATCATCTATGGTTGACAAGCTCCGTAGGTTTAACATATGCTGTATTATACTCACTTGGATTTATTTTTCATGGTAGTTAATTTTGAAATTTTCGGTAATATTGAAGGCAGGTGGGAGATTTTTATGTTCATTTAAAAGATTGGGTTAAAGGCTGGGAAACACTAATCTTGATATCTTTAATCTTTATTTAAAATACATTTTAATTGTAGATCGTATGTTTGTGTAGGGAGGGTAAGAAGAGTGTGTTACCTTTTTTAAAGAATAGAAAGCAGTCAATTTGAGGAACTTTATAACTATTCTGAAGAGGATTAGTATAAAATGGTTCACTTAGCTACCAGACATATGACAGTGGTGGGTGAATTATACCAGATCCCAAATAGATGATAATTGAGTCCTGAACCCTCTGATCAGAGGCTCGGGGTTCCCAGGTACTTACTTGTACCCTTCACTTCCAGGTATCTGCAGCTGCTGATTAATTTTTGGTTGAGTGACACAGGCTTATTTTACTGTCAGTTTCAGTGGGCATTGCTGTGATGCTGACATTCAGCATGACACTCCTTCACTATTGCTGTCACTCCTATTTCCTGTACATTTGACCAACTTAAGATTGCTGTTAGGAAACACATACTTTTGACATTATTGTCTTAGCTTAGAAATAAAGCAATAAAGGCATTATATTTATTGAGCAATAGACACACTCCTGTATCCAAAGGCAATAAAACCCTGCACACTGGAGAAAAAGTTTACCGGAAACATTTAGGCAGAGAAAACCTGCTTTCAAGCTGATTGAGTGATTGTACAATATTAGTTTAGGAGGGCAAATTTAAAGCCACAAGTTTGGTTTCAGATAATTTTGGGGACGAAAGGACGGACATGTTATCCCCACAAGATTTTTAAATAATCTGCAGACATTTTTCATAAAAACTTGATGAATTTCCTTGATGAGATGAAAGATGCCAAGGTTTCCCTCTTATCTGTGCTGCTATTAATAACACAGAAAAAAATCTGTTTTTATTAAGTTTAGAAAGTTTTCCAGGACATGTTTTATTTCCAGTTGGAATAATGTTTACAGGTTCGAAAATGTCAAGGTTTGATCGTGTCAGGAACATTCTTTATCCTTTTGTCTTAAAAAAAAAAGAAAAAGCTCAGCACCTTTCTTGAAGAACTGATTTTAGCACTAGATTTTTAAAATTAAATTTTATGCTTTTGAAAAATAGACCATCAGAATAGCTAATTCAGTAGTAAAACAAACTAGTGTTTTAGCGGGTGCCGTTAACCTGGCACCACCCCGGGTGGCACTGGCGGGTGGTTGTATGGCAGGGCTGCATNTAACAAACCAATGGAAAAACAGTAGTAAAACAAACTAGTGTTTTAGCGGGTGCCGTTAACCTGGCACCACCCCGGGTGGCACTGGCGGGTGGTTGTATGGCAGGGCTGCATTCTCATTGCCTGGGCACAGCAGGTGCTCAGACAGGGTTTGCTGAATGAATACACGAGCCCTTTCCTAGCCTGGGGAGCATCTGCATTTTATAGCACTTATTTATTCAATTGCGTGTGCGAATGGAAGTAAGTCGGGAGAAGTCTCCTCTTTGATGCCACATAAACAGATTAAAAAAATTTTTTTTTGAGGTGAAATTCACACAAAGTTGAAATTTAAAAGTGAGCAATTCAGGGACATTGAACTCACTCAGAATGTTATGTAGCCATCACCCCTCTCNATAAGTCAGGGGAGAAGTCTCCTCTTTGATGCCACATAAACAGATTAAAAAAATTTTTTTTTGAGGTGAAATTCACACAAAGTTGAAATTTAAAAGTGAGCAATTCAGGGACATTGAACTCACTCAGAATGTTATGTAGCCATCACCCCTCTCTAGTTACAAAACATTTTCATCACTCCAAAAGGAGACCCTTTTCTCATGAGGCTCCCTGCAGCCACTGGGGATGAATGTGGGTGAATGTTAGTTTTAGCTAGGATGGGACCGTTAAATCACATCTGGGCTTCTCTGATGATTTAGTAACTAAACATTGTTGTTTTAAGACAGTTCATCCTGAGTGTATATACACCTCGTGGCTTCTCAGTGGGTTGAGTGCTGCTGTGTTAGGACTTGGAGCATGGATAGTAAGTTAGTTTCATGTTGTGGACTTAAACTTGGCTGGGAACATGTATCCTNCTCGTGGCTCCTCAGCGGGTTGAGTGCTGCTGTGTTAGGACTTGGAGCATGGATAATAAGTTAGTTTCATGTTGTGGACTTAAACTTGGCTGGGAACATGTATCCTGCTGGCAGCTAGTTTTACAGGCAAGCAAACTCCACAAACCCAGTTGGCTTGTGTAAAAAGCTATAGGATATCTTAGAGATAGTTTTAAAAGCAACTCTTGGCCTTGGCCAGGTAGCTCAGTTGCTCAGAACATTGTCCTGATACGCCAAGGTTTCGGGTTTGATCTCCGGTCAGGTCACATACAAGAATCAGCCAATGAGTGGAACAACAAATCGATGTTTCTCTCTCTTTCTCTTTCCCTTTCCCTCTCTCCCTCCCTCCCATTCCCCTCCCCCCCTCTCAAATTAATCATTAAAAAAAAAAAAGCAACTCTTTATTTGAAATGATATAAGAAAATTTGCCCTGTAAGAGTTACGTACCAGTTAATCAAGATGTTTGGCACAGTTTAAAACTAGTTTTAGGCTTGGGTTGTAATCTCTGTGACCTTGAATAAGAAATTAAATTTTTCTTTGGTCCGATTTCTTCAACTACAAAAATAGGTGGATTAAAGCTCTCTGGACTGCTTCAATCTAAGCTATATAGGATCTTTAGTCTTTTTCATTTCTTCCTGTTATAAAAATTAATTGTCCTCATTATAGAAATTACCAATGTCTATAAAGGGACAAGAAGGGAAAAATGGCCCCACTGATTAAAGACAACAACTGTTAGTATTTTGATGTACATATTTTTTATTATTTGTTTTAAAAAACCAATGTGCAAATAACATGAATACATACTGATTATGAAAGACCCAGATCCTAAAAAGAATAGTTGGGAGTGAACAAGAAAAGGTGCCCATCCTTGTTCCTTGCCCCTGGGGCAGCCTTCAGATTGGTTAGTGACTTTTCTGGGTCCTTCACAAAGCATTTAGACAGGGAGGTTATTAAATTTTTATTTTATTTTATTTTCTTAGCACAATTGGGATAATTGTAGGCTTACTGTTTTGTGACTTTTTTAAACAGTATTTCTTGGAGTTTTTGTCAGTACATCAGTTTTATTTTTAATGGCTGAATATTATTCTTGAAATGGATATAGCATAATTTAACAATGCCTATCTTTTTGATGTACATGGTTGTTTTCAAGCATTCAGCATTTTAAGTAATGCTGCAACCAGCAACCTTGAACATACATACCACTTGCATGGATATGTTTGAGGGATAGGTTTCTATGAGTATAATTGCTGGTCCTAGAAAATGCTTGTTTTAAATCCCAGTGCTGAGTTACCCTTCACAAAGGCCCTTCCACCAAGAACATAATCTCCCAACAACTTAGAGTAGCTTTTCTCTATACCCTGCTCAACACCAGATTCCCCTTTAAAAATCTCCCCCTAATTTATGTTAAAAAAATGAAAGTTTACTTTGTCATTTCCATAATTTTAAATGAGGTTGAATAGCTTTCTGTGTGCTTTGTTGAGTAATTTAATTTTTTTCTGTGAATTTGCATGCTCCTACCCTGAGCCCATTTCTTTTGGATTGTTTGTATTATGGATTTGCAGGTGTTTTTTATGAAATTTTGATGTTGCTCCTTTGTTTGGTGTTGCACCGTATTTTCTCTTAGGCCATCACTAATGTTGCACTTCTCTTTGTTGTAGTTTACCATACCAGAATGTAAATATTTTTATACTTTGTCTTTTTTTCCTCTGTGTTTTAAAAATGTAGTTGTGCTGTTACTCATACGTACAGTTATTTTCAGTAATTTTCAAGACAGGTAGCCAGGACCTAAGGCGGCTGTGTTGTGCCTTACCAGGGCAAGCATGAAAGGGAGTTGTTACTAAGTTAGAAGAACACAGTGCATGAGTGCTGCCTAGCACATTTCCTCCTGTAGGGATGGCACGTTGAAAGTCATCATCTTTACTTGGGAAGGGGTCCCAACCAAGGCACCTCAGGATGCCTCTCAGAAACAGCAGCTTTCGCCCCTCAGCCAATTGCTGGGGGTCCCACTCCTTATAGTTTCTTTGGATGTTCTGTTTCCAGTCTCCTTCAGTTGACCCTTCTGTTCACGCAGCCCCCCTCTGTGGGACACATGGTATGTTTCTCCTATCAAAACACACACAGGCACTGATGCAGCACTCACTTGTTGGGAGTTTCACGTAAGAACCCCCAAAACTTGGCTAATTTGGTAGGTAAAAAATGTACAGTTTTTGTCTCTTAAGAGAATTATAAAAGACTTTGGGAGGAAATGTTTCCACACTGCAGAGAGAGGTACCGTGAAACAGCCTCTGAGCGGAATGTTTCTCTTCAGGTGGTGATAAATGGAGGTGCCACGTCCAGCGGCGAGCAGGACTATGAAGACACAGAGCTCATGGCGATCTACACAACAGAGAACGGCATCGCAGAAAAGGTACCACTTCAGCCGCC